TGATAGTGTAATGTTTGGGAAATTTAACTAAGGCGATAGGGGCAGAACCAAAAAAAGTACGAATCTTGAACGCATTATATATATATATATATATATATATATATATATATATATATATATATATATATATATATATATATAATGTTTTAACTACCATGTAACCTAAAAAATTTAAGAAAATATTTTAAGTAATCTAATGTTTTTCATTTTAGGCATTTTGACTTTATATTCTTACTTAAGAAGCCACTTGTTGAGAAAATATTAATAAATTTATTGTAGGTACCTCTCTTATTTTCTGATAATGTCCTGTATGGACATCCGTATTTACAAATATCGACACATTCATACACACATACAAAAAAATATATCTTTAAAATTCTGTAGTGTTTGGATTGTAATGAACTTTTAAAATTAGTAAATAGTTTTAATTTAATAATAATATCACGTGACTGTTACAAATTAATACAGAATTAAAAATTTTTTTTAAAGTTTATAAATTGTTTTAATAAAAAAATAAAAAAATATTGTAAAAATTCATTATTTTTCTGAAATTTAAAAAAAATAAAATGAGTATGTATATATAAAGGAGATATACATAAAAAATAAAATACCTTAGAGGAGACATGTTCACCAACAAAGTGCATAAAATCCATGGATGAAACTTTGATAGTAGAGAAAGACAAAATACGAAATGAATGAATTGGAGAAACTCTTCGACGATGAAAGCGAACAACCGGCAATACAAGGAAATACAGACAGATGAAAAATACTAAAATCTGAAGAGGAATATATACTAGCTAAATTATGGCTCTGGCCTGATGGAATTGTATTAGAAGTGCTGGCAGCCTTAGACAATTTCCACATTGACAAGATTACAGAAATAAGAAATGAGATCTACAACAGTGGTGAAATGCAGGAAGACCTAAGTCGATCTATTTTCCTAGCACTGCCTTAGAAGCCAGGAGTAAGCCAATGTGAACTCCAACGAACCATCAGCCTAATGAGCCATATGACAAAACTTATTCTCCGAATTCTAATGAATAGAGCGCACAGACCAGAAATAGGACAGGAAAAGTGCAGGTTTGTCAATAAGACTGGAACAAGGAACGCGATATTTATGTTCTGAATGTTATCAGAAAGAGCAATACAAATGCAGAAGGACGTGTATTTGTGTTTTATAGATTACGTAAACGCGTTAGATAAAGTACGTCACAAAGATCTATATAGAAATGCTCAACAACCTTTTGATATATTTGGGAAGGATATTAAAATAATCACGAAACTATACTGTTGTGGCCTGTTCAGGGGCCTGAAAGAAAAGACACGGAAGACGAAGGTAGGTTGAAAAATTGTATATTGAAGATATACACAAAACAATAGTGTTAGTAATAAGTAGATTAACACTGCGCCTACTACTCTACTCCATTCCACACTCTGCGCTCCCGTCCGACTCTCGCAGTTTGTATTTATGAGAGAAGGAAGAATTCAAGAGGGTTTACCACAACATATACTGACAGCAAATCGCCTACACACGGATAGAAATTGAGTTCAACAGATATACAAAAAGTAGAAATGAGTGTAAGACAAGGATATGTCTTCTCGCCGGATTTATACAACCTATACCACGAGGTGATTCTGAATGAACTAGAAGTTCTACCAAGATTTGTTATTGGCGGCCAAAACCTTGACAACACAAAATATGCAGATGACATAGTGTTGATACCAAACACAGAAAAAGAAAACAACTAGAAAATCACCCACACAAAGTAATAAGGGAAAGCGAGAAGAAAGAATTAAACATTAACTGCAAGAAGACCGCAAGTGTGAAATTGAAAAACGAAGGCCTATTGGGGTAGCCAAAGGTGCTTTCCAAAATGTAAGCAGATTACTAAGAAATAGGAAAAAAGTACAAAACTGTTACGCGATATCTGTCCTCCTGTATGCTATTAAGTGCTGGACAATCTCCTCGCAGATGAAGAAGAGACTTGAAGCAACAGAAATGTGATTCTACAGAAGGATGCCGAGGATACCATGGACCGAATATCTAAGTAACGACGAGGTTTTAGAGAAAATGGAAGCAAAAAGGAAACTTATACATCAGTTGCCGTTACTGGGGCAGATAACGAGGAAAGAAGGGTTGGAGAGTCTGATACTCACAGGACAGATCGAAGGCAAGAGTAACAGAGGGAACAGCACACAGTGAGCTTGAATAAAATGAATGGTGAAACAAAGTTTAGGGGAAATAACAAACAAACAAAATTTATTAAGAGCAACAAGGGACAGGAAGTTGTGGAGAGCCATGATTGCTTAAGTTCTGAGGGAATACGGGACGTAAGAAGAAGTGTCCATAATATATTTTGTTCATAAAATCCTTTAAAAGTTTTTCTAATAAAAATATCTAAATTTATTACATTTATTATTTTATGATTCAGCCAAAATTTTCTGTATTTGGGGTCCATTTTAATCAAAACCTTTTAATGATTTGAATTCATCGGGGATTTCTCCTTTCAACAAATATAACATTATTCTATATAAAAACAAGATTTCCAGTTCTCAGTTTTTTACCGCAAAATGACGTACAAAATTTCCGTCCAAATTTAAGGTCCTAAGACAAGATTTTATTGTCAAAATGTCAATTGTTCGAAAAAAGAATTATAAAAAAAAAAATATTTGCATAAAGTTCTTTGATGTTTCCTCGTAATAAAGAAATTTTGTTTTTATTCATTTTTCATCATTTTTCAAGATTTCGCCTCCTTTTTAGCGCCTGTTTGGCTGTACACCCCATATATACATACACACACACACATATATATATATATATATATATATATATATATATATATATATGAAGGTTAATAAATCCGTTGTTCTATATTCCAAGTGGATCCCAGTAATATAAAATATTAAAACTGATCCACAAAAAGAACTCAATGTATTTATTATTACAGAGCAAATAATTAGTACACAACATTAATCCAAAATATCCTCATATAGGGAATAGGCTTATTTTAACCGACGAGATTCGTCAGTCTTATTCAACCCCCGTGTATAGACTGAGTTCCTGTCGGAATTAGAAATTTAACTATGATAGCTAAAAAAGAAAAAAAAAACATCGAAAAACTAATAGAGAATTTATCCATTTCAAGGTTTCAGGCACTAGACATTGGTAAAGGGAGGATGGCATGTATTAGTCTTATGAGATTAAACTCGGATATTAACCTTATGACATTAAATTGGGTGTATATGAAGAACGAAATGTTAATTTGAAACTATGAGAATAGCAAAAGGAAGTTTTAAAATTATAGAAACTTATGTTTAAAAATACAAAATCCTACTTACAAATTCTCTTCCAAAGACAAGTTATATTGAAAAATAAGATATATTCAAATAAATTAAAAATATGTCATATTTAGATAATCTATATTAAAATTAAGTAAAATTATATTAAAAAATATATTTAACATAAAATCAATAGATTATATTAAAGAATACAAAAATATTTAGAAACAAAAATAGATCAAATGAATTATACATTTAGAAATAAAATAAATAAATAAAAATTTTAAATTTAAAAATATAAATTATACTTAAAAATGCATAAAAATACAAAATTATATTTAAAAATAACCCTAAAATATATAGATAAGTGATAAAAGGAAAGAGAGTTCTTAGAACAGGGAAAATTATAAGACATAATTAATATGGTGTAAAAATGGAAATATAGAAATTAGTATACATTCGATAGTTGAAGTGTTAGGGAAATATAGTAGCTAATAAAGTAAAATCTATATTATGGAAATTTGATTTTGTTTTTATGTCGACATTTTATTTATAATTCATTCCTTTGATACAATAGTTGGCTTTGATTATTGTATTTTATTATTCTAATTTTTCTCCTAAACATAAGTTACACCTATTTCTAAGACTATTATAATAATCTCCCAATCTATCTATGGGTTCAAACCTTTCTCTTTTAATTCCCAAAATTTCTTTGCAAGAACTGTCTGCTGTTTTAATTTGAGTTTGGTAAAAGACTGCCTATGGGTATAGAATCTCTGTTTCTTTTTCCCCTCGGAAATTCCAGTGTAAACATTATAATTTTTCATATTTTCTTTGATGTAAATTGTTGCTTCATATATAACCCTAGTAGATCTGCATTTTCCATCTAATGGACAATTTTCTATATATCTACAATTATAAGAGTGTTCAATACCAGGGTTGTTGTTTATCCCATAGAAATTTCTTGAAATATAGTTATTATGTGAGTTGATAATTTTATACATGTTATTGGTACAGGAGTAGCTAATTTGAATCGTTTTCCTATTGAAGATCTTACTTAGAGGGTTATATATATATATATATATATATATATATACAAAACTGTACTGAAAAGGTTTTCAGACTGAACAACTTCCCAATACCTTAACAAATGATGCAATTTTTTAAAAGCCACGAACTTGTCATCACCTCTCTTCGCTCTTATTATTGTGACATAACTGAATGAATTACAGATCTTGCCTGTGCATATGAGTTAATCATGGAAAAGTGGTTTCCACAAATATTTACTCTTTTTTATGCCAGCCGTTGTGACATGCTAGTGATGGAGCAGGGAACAGGGTGACTTAGAGTCATGCCTTTAATAAGAACATTATTGAAAAGTGAAAGGCAACGAAGAACAATTCGAACAAGTCATCTGTAATAAGAAATGCCGGTTTGCCATTTGGAGCCAATGAAACTAATAAGGAATTCGTAAAATGTATGCCACTTCACTAAACACACACAAAGGTGTACACACACACAGACATACACACACACACAGACATACACACACACACAGACATACACACACACACAGAGGCGCGCTAGCGCACGTACACACACTCGTGTGTACACACATACACATACGAGCATTAGCCGTGCTAATCTTGGTAATTGTGGATTTCTTTCAAAGAAATGAATTTTTTGAGTTGCTGTCTGGCTTCTGGCGAGATCTGTTTTCTTTAATTGAAGTCTCTGGCATTTCTTGTCATCCCAGATGTAAGGAGATGAAATGATACGTATACTGAGAGAGAGAGAGAGAGAGAGAGAGAGAGAGAGAGAGAGAAGGAGGAAGAGAGAGGGAGGGAGAGACAGACAGACAGAAAGAGAGACAGACAGACAGAAAAGTAGGGGAGAGAGACAGAAAGAAAGAAAGAAAGAAAGAAAGAGAAAGAGACTGGGGGAGAAGTGTAAACAGAGATAGAAATAGAATCAGAGAAGAAATGAGAGTGCTTTATTTTACGTTCGAATTTCTTTTTTTGAAAATAAGAAATTTCAACAATTTCTCTTTTGTTTTCGCTTTCCTTTTTTATCTTTTCTTTCTTCCTTTCTCTTTCAACCTCCTCCTCGCCTTTTCTCATTCCCACTCCATTCCTTTCTTTTAATCTTCCTTTCCCAATCTTTTTGGGGAGATCCAATGAAAAAAACTATTTCTCTTCCCACACGCATACAAGCAAAGTTGTTTATTTTGATAACGAAAATCGGTTCCTTATGAATATGAAATGAAAAAAGTGATAAATTCTGCAATAAAATTTCTGTGGAGTCCATCATGCCGCCAGTTAAATCAAGCCACGGTCTCTCTCTCTCTCTGTCTCTCTCTCTCTGTCTCTCTCTCTCTCTGTCTGTCTGTCTGTCTCTCTCTCTCTCTCTCTCTTGATATACTTATTTGTGTGTATGCATGCAACTTTGGGATTTAATATAATTCGAAACTTATATGGATTTGAATGCCAACCTCCTTTAAATTATATAGACATTCACAAAGCCTAGTAAACGTTTTCAATAATAATAATAATAATAATCTATCGGAAAGAAAAGTAAAATATACAATGATATGCAGTTTTACAAACGCCCATATATACATGTGTAGGTATTTTTCATCCTTTAATAAACACACACACATAGTGCATATATATATATATATTATTTTATATGCGCAGTACTTGTTGGAAAGCGCACAATATTAGTTGAATTCAATGTTCACTTTTATATTTATATAAGCTCTACCTCTGATATTGAGCACTTTATCCCATAAATACAGCACACCTTAAAACTATATTCCTTCATATATATATATATATATATAACGACATCCACAGACAGACTGTTTCGCAGCTCATCAGTGTGGATAGACATCCGGTTGCCTCTAGCTAGGATCGAAACCCGACTGAATTGGTGTCAGTCGGAGATTCTAACCATTAAGCCGTCGATGAAAGTGGATTGTTAGCGTATTTATTTTTAGAAACACGCCCAGTGACCGACAGTGACTCAATTCGCATCTGCGAAGAGTCTCGCTCTACAGCTATAATAGTCACTGTATATATATATATATATATATATATATATATATATATATATATATATATATATATATATATATATATATATATATATATATATATATATATATATATATATATATATATATATATATCATAGGACAAAGAAAATATAACCGTTGATCAATCTAACATGTTTCACTTTTATCAGAGAATGAGACATGGAGAAAAATGTTGAAAGAAATTCTGGTCATTTTTTTTTTTGTTGTTTGATTTTCATTGGTTAATCAGGCTTCACGTTCATTTGACCTGTTAAACAACTTTAGTATAATTTATGGCGTTCTGTATTCAAAAACTTATGTATAAAGTGTATCATAATTCTAGCTTGTGTATGCGAGATTCCGACGATAATATATATTCGTAAGTGTGTGTGTGTGTGTGTGTGTGTGTGTGCCTGTGTGTGAGTGTCTAGTAGACGTTACGTTTGGTGGTTGGCCGCTTGTTGATTTTGGAAAATTTTTATGTAAACATTGTTTTATATAAACATACGTTAGATTCTGTATATATTTCTGAGATGAGGCATTATGTACACTATATACATTATTCAGACTATTGTTCTCAACTTTGTCGCCATATTTATTACAGCATTTCGGCCGTTGTACGCTCCGGCCTTCTTCAGGTGGTTGGAGTGTCAAACTGAACCCTTTATTTTGCTCACTGGGATAGACTGTTCTAGTTCCACGTGCCATGGACACATGGCACAGTGGATAAAGGCGTTAGTTACATCCAGTGACAGGACCCAAAGAGTGTGAGTTCAGTATCTGGTTAAGGCAGTGGAGAACTTGGGAATTAACAGGAGATAACTGATAACTGACATCCATTAAACATGGCCGAAACGTTGTTATAAATATGGTGACAAAGATGAGGATAATGGTCCGAATAATGTAAATAGTATACGTTAGATTCTTTAAGAATGGACTCAATAATGGTTAATGTAGTGCTTTGACGTGAATTTATAGTTGATGAAATAATTATCATGACTCGCTCGAAATATTTTCGACGAAAAGAATTATGTTCTTTCTTTAATTAGAGTGGCCTTTATATTTATGCTGCAGTTTTTGCATTTATGCAGGTTAAAGGACAACGAAAATTCTTTGTCAAGGATTTTTTTCTATATTTCGGTCCATTTTTCTGGTTTCCGGTACATATTTAAATTGTAAAATTTCTGCGTAATTTCGGTTTTCATCACATTTTTTGGTTTCCGGCTCTATCGGTTTCATTATTTTCAAATATTAACGAGACAGTTCCTGTTATCATTAATTATATATTTAGAATGTTTGTCCCTAAATTTGATAACATTGTGAGGTCGTTCGCTTTATGATTAATGCTTCCAATATTTGGAATCGTTTTTTTTCGTTTACGTGATATAGTATTTTTATATTATTTTTTTTTATTATTTATATTTTTTTTTTTTTTTTACTGTTGTTTGGTAATATGTAATTGAACAGAACTAATATCAGTGAATGATTAACGTAGTCGCGTCGAATGAGCTGATCAAAGTGCTTTTTATTTTCGTGGTTTGACAGCTGTAGAGAGCCACTTGGAACATGGATTCACATACACATATCATTGTCGCGACTGCTGAAACGAATTATCCGTTGCCTAACTGTTCTCATATCCATATTTTGTTTTGTTTCCCGTATCATGTATCTGGTTAAGTAAGTAGATCTGCACTCAGAAATAAACTCATACGCATATCAAGATATAGACGACTTTATATTTCTGTTTGACTATGTATTCGGCTATGTTTTTGGATTGGTACGTATTAATCATTTTCTGCTTTCCATCAGCACGGCTGATGCTAACCACCAAGAGAGTAACTCGTTACGCCTTTCTCTGGCCAACGTTCTCGGAGGATATGAAGTGAAAACACTATATTGAATCCATTGCTAGGTCTGATGCCAAGTAAGTTGGTTCACTGTGTTGTACTGGACAATGATTCACTCTTACATATCTAAAAGTCTACCATTCGTCCATATCTCGATTATTGCTGCCACGTATGTTCAGGTGGTCCTGCTTTATATTTAGAGTTTCTTAATAAAATCCAAAGACGAATCAGTAATGTTATTGATTCTGATGTGGTGTTTTGGTTTCAGTCACTTCTCCATAGCCATGAAGTTGCTTCAATTTGCCTTTTTTTAAAAATATTTTTCTTGGTAATTATTCGGATAAGCTCTTTACTATGCTACGCAGAATGTAAGCGCAGTACTAGATTGGCGGAAAGGTCTCATCAGTTTACAGCTGAATTGGCGAGATGTAACCGTAAGTTCTATGCTTGTGGATCTCTCTTCTGGTTTCTTGCTTTTCAGTCAACTTTAAACTTCAAAAATTTAAATGCAATGTCAATCGTTATCTACTGTACCCCTGATTACTCTTCTATTGTTTTCCCTCCCGCCAAAATACTTCCATTTTCTAATTCTCTCACATGCATCAACTCCTTGTGGCTTAGTAACTTTACTGCCTTACATGGGTTGAATCCGATTAAAAGGAGGACCATAATTCATAACTATCGTCAATATAAAGAAAATCTGAAATGTTATGAACACATGTCACAATCGCTATTTATTCTAGAAAGTACCACCTTTAGGTAAAAAAACAAAACAAAAAACAGACAGGACAAAAAGGTTCTGAAAAAGTCAGCGAGTAGAATTACTGATCCGTCACAGACACTCAGATATTGACACGCAGCCGAGACATATGAAGAGAGTTGCGCAGCGAAAACATAATGATGATGATGATGATGATGATGATGGCAACATTTGTAAACTTGAATGGCCGCATTAACAATCACAGGCCTTTTCTCAATATGCTGAAATTTATTATAAGCTTTTACGTGTGCGTAAAACATTCCCTGTATATGTGTGAGTATTTGCGTGAATTATTACGTGTCTACGTTTAAGTATATATGTGTGTGAATACCTGTTCGCAGACCTTGTTTTACCTCCTTGAATTAATATCTTTCACATAGTGTATTTGTGTTTTTATGTATTATGTATGAGTGTAGCAATGACTGTGTTTATAGATGTGCTACAGGATGGCTATATATGTGCGCTCTCAATGTCTTCTCGTTCTCTTTCTGTAAATATCTTTGCTTTGCTTTCCGATGTCTGCGTTCGTTTTTATTTGAATATGTGGGCGCATTTTTTACTGACCGTAGGCACAACAAAAACTTGCTGTTTTTCATTACAAGTGTCGGATTTTCCGCATCTACAAAACGAAGCTCGGAAAAACTAGTAACTCTTCATCGGAAAGCGATGGTAAGGTGACCGTTCATGCATCCATCATGGATCAGTGATAAAGAAATAAAGAACAGACAAGAGGGAATCCGCTCTTTTATAAGCCAATATATATATATATATGTGTGTGTGTGTGTGTGTGTGTGTGTGCGTATTATTGTACTTGAAATAGAAAGGCTAGGCCAAAGAAGAATTAAAGAGCTGTTCAAAAAGATTGAAAGAAAATGAAGAAAAAAAAATGAGGACAGTGTAACGTTGTAAAAGAGAGAGAAGTCTTCGAGCGAACACGATGGCGCCCTGTGAATTACAACGGACGCTGACACAATAACGCGATGATGCCTGTGTGATACACAAGGCCGACATATTGAAAATGGCCGATGACAAACAGACCTGCGGGCAGAGAGGCTTATCAAATGTGCAATAAACACAAACTGGCTTTATTGAAAACGAAGAGTGGAAACAATCGAGAAAGTCAAAGCAAGTAGGAGCGGTCTGGACGTTTACAAGATCTCATGCGTTAGAAATCAAGCGTCTGATGGCAATAGGCAGATGCAAAGTGTGAATAATGTAGAATATCTGTATGTGAAAACTTATACCTAAGCATGTATTAATGAACATACTTTATATATAAAAGCGACTTGAATGAGTGTGTCTGTGCGAGCAAATGTGTATGTACAGTTCTAGTGAAGGTCTATATAACATTTGCATTAATCAGATAATACCTTACATTTAGCATATAATCTGAAGGACAGCCAATGATATAATGTTGATTATATGTATGAGAATGATAATAATAATGATGAAATTCGTCGTTTCCTTACAAGGAAACATTCAGCATTCATTGACCGAACAGTTAACGTTAATATCGGTTAAGTTTATAAATATTTATTTGGAAGTGAAGAAAGGACGTTAAAAGAAAAAGGTCCAGCAAGACAGAAGATGACGATTGACGTCGCATTTCAATTTTAAAACAGTTTTTCACTAAATAGGTTTCTCAAGTCGTCTGGGTTTGTTTTATCGTTTCACCCCAAGCAAGGCAATAAAGCCACTAAGACACGAAGGGCTATTGAGCGTTATGGCTCTGAGTTTTCATGAGGGTTTCCTTCTGAACCGATTGTCTAAAAGACATTGATTTAAAAATACTTGCAAAAATCAGATAACTGTTAGATTTTAATGAAACTTTCAGGATTTATTCACAAATGAATGAAATTATTTTAGAAGCGTTTCTTGAAAAACTTGGCAAAAAATATCTTTTTCATTAGTTCCCTTTTCCAATAATTTAATTTTGAGAAATTCTTTTATGTCGAGTTCAATGTTGATATTAGTTCCAAGGTCACATCTTTTGCGAATATAAATCATCAATTTATTTTTGTAACACAGGTCCCCAGTTACTGAAAATTTGCTCTGAATCGTAAAATAAAATAAATGCGATAACACTAAGATATTATTTAATTAGAAAAGCTTTTAATTGCTTTTATGAATAAAATATATTATGTAAACTATTGTCTTGAGAGCAAAAGAAATTTGATAAAATAATGAATTTTTACAAAAATTGTTTGCATTTAAAAAAAAATTAATTATAATAATTCATAAAGTTTTGAATATTTTAAAATTCTATATTAATTCGTAGTGATATGGTTATTAAGCAAAAACTCCATGTACCATTCCTAAATGGAAAAGCTTATGTATTTACAAACAATAGCACTTTTATTTAATCACCAAAAAAATTCAGCGGCTCCAGTATTTTTAAAACAATTTTGAATTGTTTTGGTGAGTGAATAAAACTGCTATTGTTTATAAATACATATGTCCATATACGACATTATCAGAAATGAAGAGCGGTAATTCTAGTAATTTTAAAATTTATTGCTAATTTTCTAGCGTTTTTTCAACAAGCGTCTACATAAGTAAAACTATAAAGTACCTAAAATTCAACAGAATATTTTCCGAATTTTTAAAAAGATTACTGTGTAGTTAAAAAATTATATAAAAAGGCCTTCACGGTATATTCGTCAAGTTATTTTTACAATAATTGTCCCCCTTGGAAAAAATTCCGAAACATAGGTCTTAACAGCTAATAAAACACCCACATTTGTGTTAAAATGCTTTTCTGCGATATTTTAAACTAAATGTAAGTAATATTTGTTTTAAATTAGATTAATTAAAATTTAAATCTGCTAAACTTAATCAAATCAAGTTTCAGAAAAGTATATTTTATTGTTGAAAGATTTTTAAGAGAGAGAACTACGTTGTCTTGACAGATTTGTAAATATGGATGATTTTAGCGTTTTTACTACTAATAAAAAAATAATTCCAATCAATTTAAATTCAGTTTGAAATACACCAACTTATTTGCTTATTGGAAATATTAAATTTATTTTATTACCTTGGAATTAAAACTAAGGTAAACGCTTTAAATAAGACTTTCCATTTTTAAAAATTAATTTTAAACTTTAAGTATCGTTTTTTTTTTGAGCTACCTAGTTATATATAAACAAAAAATATAACATTGAAGACTAATTACCTTTAAGCCCGTTAAACACTCCTTTCGCTTACAGAGAGATGGCTGGTAGGACTTAATACAAATTCGAAAATCTTTAGGTGATAATCGGTATTAGCCTTACTCAGCAGCGAGGATATTTTGGGACTATAAGTCTGCGCACAGTGCTGGTTTTTAATCAAATGTTCAGCTGTCGGTGAACTTAATACATTGACGCGCCTAATGCAAATTGTCCACTTTTCCCCTGCGAATATTGATTTGAACGTGTTGGTCAAACCCCTGTCTTCAACCTTTGACCTGTTCTGTCTAAAGAGTTAACATCACATTGACACCTGAATTTGTAAATTGCCTATCCATCATATTAGTTTGATATAATATGATGTGCAGGCAGAACTTACTTCTGGATCTGTCTTGACATAAAAAAAAAACAATTTTCAAATTATTTCCTATCATGAGTTTATCCTTGGCAGCACCGATATTTTGAAAGACATTTTCACTATACAGGGTTCCATAAGAAACGGATTTCTTTATCGAGGCAAAAGAATTTAAAAAAAACATAACAAATTAAAAACAAGTATTTTCGACCTACTTTTATGTTTCTCAAAATATGAGGCTCACTTAAAAGTAAAGCCACTGATTTTATTATATTAACCAACGACAGCATGCTCGGTATTGGAGGATGGCAAGCCGCTCTACCAACCAAGAACCCATAATTATATATATATATATATATATATATACATATATATATATATATATATATAGATAATCTAGCCACCCAAAACTACCAAGGTTTCACCTAAACGGATCGTCAGGCTAATGCCGGCATTGCCCTGACGATCCGATCACGTGATGAATCCTTGGTAGGTTTGCCTGGCTTCTTACGATTATCTTACGTTTTACTCTACTTAGTGGATTGAGAAATTTACGTAGTTGTCTTTTTACTCATTTCTTTTTTTTATTCCCCATTTTTACTCGGGTACCCGATTTGTTCTACTGCTAGTTGAGGTATCCGAGGTTTTTCCAAACAAGTACCACCATTTATATATATATATATATATATATATATATATATATATATATATAAAAGTGGACATAGAAGGCAACAGCCTGTTTCATGCTATATGCAATCGTCAGGCCACGACTGCATATAGCATGAAACAGACTGTTGCCTCTAAGTGTTGACTTCTATGTCCACTTTTATATTTACATACGCTCTATCTCTGATATTGAGCACTTTATCCCATAAATATAGCACACCTTAAAACTATATTTCTTCATACATATATATATATATATATATATATATATATATATATATATATATATATGTGTGTGTGTGTGTGTGTGTGTGTTTGTCTTCGTGTATGCGTGCTTGTGATGTAAGGACATGACCTTATTTAAGAAAAGGAAGTTAAAAATAAAGAGAGAAAGAGAAGTTAAAATAGAGACAGATATAGCGAATGAAAGTGTGTGTGTGTAGGAGAAAGAAAGTGTGAGTGCAAGAAGTGAATAAGAGAGAGAGAGAGAGAGAGAAGGAGAATGAAAGAGTGAAGTGGAGGAAAGAAGAAAATGAAAAAGAAAATATGAAGAGAGTCTGAGAGAGAGTTTTGATGGAGAAGAAAAAGTAATGAGTTTGCAGTGAAGTTTATTTCAAGTGTCCTCTTGAGACTCGAAATCATTGTCACATTATTGGATTTCTTTAATCGATTTTCTATTTTTCGAGTCGCTTTTCGAAGTTTCAGTAATATTTTCTTCGTACTTGATCGTTACAAATATAGTCAAAACAAAGCAAACAATTTCCAAAGAATAAAGCTTTTCATCGCTTAAAATAAACAATGAAGCTCAATACTATTAATACAGCAATTGAATGATCGAGAAAAAACGCGTTCTCAAAGATAACGAAATCTAAGATATCTGGGATTCGAGCCAAAAAGAAGCTTCAATGGGATCGAAGTACTCTAAAGTTTTGTTGTTTTTTCATTATCTACCTAGATATGTGTTTGTAGACATAACTAAGTAGGAAAAATGATCTAGGTACTCTGCAAACGACTGGTACTTGACAATGCAGATAAATGGCAAGTGACGGAGAAGAAAAAACAAAAAGTGTAAAATTTCAGTAGATTCAAGAATCTAAATCGAGTCTTTATAAAAATGAAAAAAATTCATCACATTGTAGATTTCATTTTTCCAGTAGACGCTGGAAATTGAAATAAATGAAAGACAAACTAAAAAAAGAACAAACTATTTGCCTCCTGTCGAAGAACTGAAAAAAAATCGAGAAAAAGGAAAGCAGCACTTGTACTCGTCAATATTGGCGTACTTGAAATACTCTCAAAGAACCTGGCGAAGAAAACCATTCAACAACATTATAAAAATAAACTTGAAACCTTTGAACTATGTTAGAATAGCGAAGAAACTTACGATCATTGAATAATTAATGCTAGTCAGCATAAAGAAATAATTTTTTAAGCAATGCAAACCAGATAATAATAATAATAATAATAATAATAATAATAATAATAATGAGACGATAAAAAAACGTTGTAGGTTCTATCGCCAAAATAAAATATTCCGAACAGATCCTAAGAAATTTTACAGGGAAATTGGAAAAACACCTATACATGTCGAAAGGCCACCATCGATTGATAATGTACAGACATTCTGGGAAAATATCTGGAGCAGCCCAAAGGAGTATAACCCAAATGCAGAGTGGATACGGCGTGAAGAAGAACGAATGCTGGATACACCTCTGCAAGAATGGGAAAATATATCCACAGATGATGTTAGGCAAGCTCTAACGAAATCCCAAAAATGGAAATCCCCAGGAAGTGACAAGTTGCCCAGTTTCTGGCTGTATCATCTCACATCTTCCCATGAAATTCTTGCAAAAACATTATCAACGCTTGTTAATAATCCCTATGAAACCCCGGAATGGATTACTGAAGGTATGACATACCTCATACCAAAAACAACTGAAACAGACGACCCGAAAAATTATAGACCGATAACATGTCTCTCCACAACGTATAAGTTGATCACGTCTGTATTGACGAACCGTACTTATTCCTTTCTCGAAACAAACAGCACTCTCCCGCTGGAACAGAAGGGATGCAGAAGAGGTTCATATGGCTGCAAGGATCAACTTCTGATAAATAAAATGATCCTGGAAAATTGCAGGAGACGACGCAGAAACCTAAGTGCAGCGTGGATTGATTATCGTAAAGCCTTTGATAGTGTTCCACATTCTTGGATCCTTAAGACTTTGGAAATGTACAAAGTCTCCCCTGTGGTATTAAATTTCCTTAAGCACAGTATGGGAATGTGGAACACCAAACTATACCTTAGTCACACCGGGGACACTGCCATATCCAACCGTCTGAGTATCCGACGTGGAATCTTTCAAGGAGATTCTCTGTCACCCCTTCTGTTTTGTTTATCCTTAATCCCTCTTACACATGAACTGAACAACAGTAGCTATGGTTACAAAATAAATAAGAAAATATTCAATCACCTACTCTACATGGATGATCTCAAACTCTTTGCCAAAGACGACAATGAGTTGAAAGGCCTCCTCAATATTGTAAAATACTTCAGTGACGACATAGGTATGGACTTCGGATTAGATAAATGTGCAAATGTAACTTTCAAGAAAGGTAGAATTACAGAAACACCCTTAATAGATTTAGATTTTGTCACAAAGATTAGGGAACTGGAGCATGGTGAAGCTTATAAGTACCTAGGAATTAGCGAAGGAGATGGCATACAACACCCCCAAATGAAGGAAAAAATAAGAAAAGAATACTACAGGCGTGTACGTTTGGTACTCAATACTGAGCTGAACTCAAAAAAACAGGATATCAGCCATAAACACATTGGCTGTCCCTGTGGTGCAATACAGCTTTAATGTCCTTAACTGGACCATAGCTGAAATTAAGCGACTGGATGCCAAAACGAGAAAGCTACTCACTTGCTATCGCATGCATCATCCCAAAGCTGATGTCGACCGTCTGTATGTGCCCAGATCCGAAGGAGGCAGAGGATTAGTTCAACTAGAACTGTCCTACAAAACTACAACAATTGGCCTCCAAAGATATTTGGAAACTACAGAAGACTGGATGATGGTATGCGTCAAGGAACATGAAAGTAGTAAGCGTCTCTACTCCGTAATGAAGGAAGCCAACAAATTCAAAATGGAGTTCCAAATGGGCGTAGAGATGCAACTACAGCACAATCCACCGGCTGAAACTGCAAAATACCTAAAAAGATAGCTAAGACGAATGCAACAGACCAGTTACAGAAGTGATGGCAAGATAAACCGCTTCATGGCCAATACTCTGCCCGTACAAAACAAGCTGACGTAGACAAAACCCGTACCCATCAGTGGCTACGTAGTGCAGGGGTTGAAAGCGGAAACTGAAGGTTTTTATCCTTGCTGCGCAGGACCAATGCTTGCTAACTAGGAATTATCAAGCACATATACTAAAATATTGTGTCAGCCCAAAATGCAGATTCTGTGATAAATATCCAGAAACGATTGATCATCTTGTATCAGGTTGTACGGTGTTGGCACCCACTGAATATAAAACCCGACATGACAGAGTGGGACAATATCTGCACTGGAAAATCTGCAACTTCTACGGGAAGAAAACTGAAAGAAACTGGTATGAACACCACCCAGACCCGGTTACGGAGATAGGACCTGTTACAATTCTATGGACTACACAATACACACTGACAGAACAATTAAGGCCAACCGCCTAGATATTGTTATTAAAGACCACAAACAAAAACGGTGCCTCCTTATTGATATGGCAGTCCCTGCTGACTGCAATGTATCTTTGAAGATATTCAAAAAGTTGTCAAAGTACAAGGACCTTGAAATAGAAATCTCGAAAATGTGGCATATGGGAACATCAACAATCCCTGTTGTCGTTGGAGCCCTAGGACTGGTTGGAAAAGATTGCAGTAGACTAATTGAAGGGATTCCTGGAAGTCCATTCCCCAAGGAGATACAAACAATTGTTCTGACAAGTACAGCCCACACCTTACGAAGGGCTTTATCTATGTAATTTAATTTTTTTTTTTTTTTTTGTCAGTGGAAAGTGTCATGACGCCATTTCTAACCTTAGGTCCTGGGCGGGACCCGGAAAGAAATGTAAAACGCCAGAAATCAAAGAAAATAATAATAATAATAATAATAATAATAATAATAATAATAAATGTAGCATATGAGAACATCAATAATCTCTTTTGTAGTTGGAGCCCTCGGATTGATTGCAAAAGATTCCAGTAGACTCATTGAAGGGATTCCTGGTAGGCCATGTTTTAATGAAATACAAAAAATTGTTCTCACAAGTACAGCCCACATCTTAATAATTTTTTGAGAATTCCAATGATTTGTTTTTAAGATCCAATAGGTTTAAAATTTTAAAATTAAAAAAAAATCCATTACTTAATGGATTCACCTTTTTCTGAATTCCTCAGAAATATTTTCTAGTTTTTCATATGTAGTAAAACATACCATAAACATATTGGCAGACAACACAGAGTTTAAAAACATATTGACTGGAATTCTAGATTTAAGATTTCTTGCCCCCGGTTTTCAGATTGTTTCATTCAAGAGTTTTAGAACAGTTTTCATTCGTACGTTGAATAGAATCAAAATTTGCCAAGTTAGCTTAAGTATTTATTCTTCCCGTCTTTTGTTTAGAACAAAGTTCCAATCAAATGATTTAAGAATTCTAAGAATTCTCTAGGCGATTTACCAGTTTTCTTTTCCCCGACTCTATATTTACCAATATTAACACAAACACATTCTGGGTTTCTTTTATTCAAAAATAAATGCTATTTTACACAAAATATCATTGAGTAGTCATCACAATTTAAATAATTGGAATGTACCTCTTGGCTGAAGTGAATGCGTGTCATGTGTTGACGTTCGAATCCAGGCAAATATACAATTTCGCATGCTGTTTTTTAAGGCTGGCAATCACGACTTTAAAATGCTATTTTCATGGAACGCAGGCAAGTTTTATTTGTAAAATTGGCGCAATACAATCTTTCTATTCCAAATTTCGCCATTTAGCATTCTTGACATTGGTATATATCTACTTTCGTACGAATGGAAAGCAATGTCAATTTAACTTAGAGTATCGTTATGCGTACATGTAGGACAAAAATTGCCCAATTCATGTGACCACTGTCATGTTGGTGTTTGTATCCTCCAAGCATCCCTCTTTTGTGCATTGAGGGAGGTGCTGCTACGTGGATGGAATTTCCAGAGTTTTATTCCCTCATTGTTTAATGAAGAAGAGAACATATACTACACTTTGATCATCACATGATGTCAGCGGTTAAATGATATATTTTGAAATATATTTTAAGCCAAGTAGTAAAAACTTTGAATGCAACTAGTTGTACTTATAAAATCTAACTCTTTACTACTATGAATATTTCCATGGGAGTCTTTAATTTCATTTTCAAATTATCATTGTTTTAATATATTCTTTTACAAAGTTGGCATTTTTGCCTTCCATCTTCAAAAACATATTGGAACAGTTATTATCATAACAAAGCCACTGCCACCAAGCGGTGACCGTGTAAAGAAGATAACTATATTCGAATAAAAGTTTACAGACATTATAGACAGAACTATACAAATGAACGTTGCGTAATGTAG